CCGAGCCCCGGCCGAGTGCCCCAAGTGTTGTTTTCCCGGGATATCAGGGAGCCCCGGCGTTGCCCCCCAGGTTCCAGGCCGTTGTTTGACTTATTGTTTGAGTTATTAAACCCCTGCGGTGGTGAAGGTACAAAGACCACTTGTACAAAGACCCTTTCCCGAGCTGAACTTCCAGGGGATAGACAGTCCAGGAGCTGGACTTGGTGTCTGCGGGCTTGGGATGTGCTTTGGTGGCAGCCCCTGGTTTATCGGTGGTGCCCGGCTATATTTGGGCAATGGTTTGTTCGGATGTATATGTCGGGATGTGTTTTTCCATGGTTTCTGCTGGGAAGGCCAAGTGTCTCCATCCCCGCTCACTGTCTTGGTCAGGTGCTGCTGGTGGACTGGCCTGACCATGTTTGCTGCTGGTTCCAGGGAAACTTACGTGTTCAAACGTCTGAAATAGGTTAAAATGTAATGGCTTGAAATGTCAAACTAAATTGTGGACTCGAGGAAATGTTGGGAGAAGCCTCCTAGATGTTTGCAAGGATCCAGAAGTAAGAGTTGAGGTGTTAACACCAAGTTGAGATGAGACAGTCCCCTACACAAGTAGGATGTTTATATTGGAATTGCTGTTGTCTGCTTATTTCTGGAGCTTAATTATGTCCTCTGTAATTTCCAAAAGGCGGTTGGAGTGCTTTGGTTTATTCTGGGTTTATTATTTTTGGTTTATTAAGTGCTGGGTGCAGAACCACGGAGTAGGCCATGGGTGTGTGTTCCAGAGGGGCACCCCAGTTCAATGGTGAGCACAGAGTGTGTGTGTCACTGAAGGATGCCCACAAGAAAGAGCTCTCCTGGCATGCTGGGCTGTCTCCCATTTCTGCTTTGTACCCACGTGTCTGGTGGGAAGCAGCAGTTTTGGGGTCGGGCTGGGATGAGTTTATGGGATCTGTAATTTGATGGAGTGGAAGGCACAGGAGAGGACCAGAGCTGGATTGATGCTGGGCAATGTTGTGATGGAGAATTGGAGGCAGCAGCCATAACTGGAGCTCTTTCTCATAGTTTGCTGTTAGTTTTCTTTTTGCTTGTAGTAACTTTGGGTTTAAGCATGTGGGGACAAAACCTTGATGGCATCAATCCCCAAAATCAGCAGATCTGTGTATAAACACCCATGATTTAAACATACTTACTACAGGTGGGAGTTGGACAGCAAAAGCCTGTCCAGGAGGGAAGGACATAATTTCATTATTTTATTTCATGACACTGCTGCTTTTCTCAGCCTGGGATCCCATTGATCTGCTTTGCTCTGTACATGGAAGCCCACAGTGGCTGCAGGATTACATTCCCCGGGTCTGTAGAGCTGCAGCTCTGCCCCCAACTTCCACATCCTCCAGTGGTGTGATACAGTAATTATTGCAGGGATTTCACCATCTCCTTGTGTTTTGGGCTTTAAAGTGTCTATGGTTTGGTTTAATATGGTTACACAGTGAAATTGAACAGGATTCTGAAGCTGGGCAGAATAATTCAGGGGTTTTTCTGGCTTTAAATCAAAATAACTGATAAACCTTCATTTCCATAGGCCTCCAGTCCTGCAGGCAGGTCTGTGCTGGAGGGAGAGCTGTGGGATTGGGGTGGGAAGGGCCCTCTGAAGGATTCTGGGTGGCAATTCCTGAATTTCTGTTTGGCACAAAGGGCTCTCAGGCTAATTTGGGCCTCTTGGCTGCTGTCACAACCTCCCAAGAGCTGAAGGAATTGAACCTTTCAACCTGTGCTAGGAAAGATTGGGAATTATCAACAGCTGTAACTGAAAGGCAACACAGTTTCCTTTGAGTTGGGTTCCTAAGCTCTTTTTGCTGCTATTATTGAGATATTTACAGGTGCTGATTGCTTTCAGGAAAACTTGGTGTGGATTTTCCAGTTCTTTATCTTTGGGGATGGAATTAATAATTATTTTGCTGTATTCTGGGTCAGTGGCTTCTGGAGTTAGCAAGGAGCTGCCATGGCTGTGCTGAGCATGGAGATGCTGTTTAGGCCTGACTTTAATCATGTTTCTGTGGAGTTTCTGCCATCCCTTCCTTCCTCTGTGGACAAATGAGTTGGTCTCTGTTTGGATTAGGGAGGCGGATGTTTGAGGAGAATCTTTATGATGCAATACCTTCAATAATTGAACTTTTCTTGCTGTCCTTTCATTGTTGGGCTGTGCAGGGATCAGTGTTTCTCCTTGTCCAAAGGCACTGGAGATCCTGGCATCATCACAGCCTTCTCCTGGATGCCTTGGGATTCAGCTGGGTCATTTAATTCGCTTTGTCAGTGGATTTATATTTTTTTTCCTGCTGTTCCTCATGGTTATTCCTTCTCTGTGGAAGATGAGTGTCTGGAATGCAGTCTGTGAGCCCACTGTGGGTTTGTGGCTGAGCAGGCCGTGCCCCTGTGCCCATCTGGAGCCCCACTCCTGTCCCAGGGTCTCTCCATGGCCTTAAGGGGCCACGAGCACAAAGCAGTTCAGGCTCAGCTCTTCATGGCCAGGGACACTCAGTTTGAAAGTGGCTGAGCTCCCTTTGCAAAAATCCTGTCAGAACTTTGGGCAGGTGGGGAATTCTGTTTGTCCTTTCAGCCTTGTTGGGTTGTCTGAGGGTTTGGGTTTGTTTGGTTCTTGTTCTGTCCCAGTGAAATGAGAATTACCATTGATTTCAAAAATAAAAAGATACAGGATACATTTATTTCCTTTTTAATGCTCTTATGTCATTAAGGACCTGCTTATTCTTTTAAAGAGTTGCTTGAACGTTGGAAACCACAGGCTCTCATTGGCTTTTCTTTGTGTTTATTTTTGGATCTATTAGGTGCAATAATTCTGCTCAATCAGTTTCAAATGGGCCTGCACAGGAACCAGGGCTGGTATTAGGGATGAAATTTTGGAAGAGCATTGGAAATAGCTTTCAGGATGCTTTCATTTTTCTCTGTGTATCTGGAGCTAAACGAAGAGGGAATAAAACAAAAAGCAGCAGTTAAGAAATTGAGAAGTGCTGACTCTTTCCCTCTTTTGAATTCCAAGTTCTTTATTATAGCAATTTCTATTTCTTGATGAATCGTCTAGAAAGGAGTTCAGACTTGGTACTATTTTTAAATCAAGGTGAAATTTGTCAAAATCACTTGGACTGCAATGTTCAGAAGTGTATGAGTACACATGCAAACGAGTCTAGCTGCATACACAAATAGGTAAATATATAAATGAGCATCTACAAGAAGTGGTGAAAGCACTGATTGGAACTTTGGAACTTTGGGGTGCACAGTGAGCCCCGAGCTCCAGCAGGAGGATCACCCATGGCTATTCCTGGAGCTGTGTGACACGAGTTTGTGTGATAGGGTTTGTGTGCAGCCTGACAGGTGTTCCCAGCCCCAAATCCCCATCGCTCCCATCCTTCCCAAGGGAGTCACTGAGAGACAAATCCTGCTCTGGCTTCCATTGCTGGTGGAGCTGGAGGTGCCCAAGATCCATTTCTTGTTTGTTTGAGGGTTTTTTTTTCTGAAATATTCTGTTTCAGGAGCTTTAAATGTGCTTTAAAATAAAGTGGTAAAGTGCTTGAAAATTCTTTTTATGTTTCTAAGCAAACCTTTATTCTTTCATTTATTATTCTAGTTAAATTAAATCTGCTGTTTATTTTATATATTTTTATTTTCCAGAAAATGTTTTAAACCAAGCTAGCAATATTTTAAAATTCCTTATCCTACCACAATATCTGATAACCAGAACTCATAGAAGCAATATATTAATTCATTACTTTGCTATGAGGTAAAATTGAAAAAAAAAAAAAATATTGTCATAATTTTTGCTTAGTCTACATTTTCAGTGGCATTAAATGCAGAATTATTTTGGTGGGTGAGCAATCTGAAATGTAAATAGCATGTGAAATATGAGGGCCCTTGCTTTGCAGCATCAGTGGCGTGGCCTCGCTCAGGAAAATTCCCAAGTGAGGGAAGCAGAACAGTTGTCAATTGTTTGCACAACAAATC